CAGATTGTTTATCTCATCCTGGTGGAGACTCTAGGAAGAGCTTCCACCACTGGACTGCTGACCTCAGGAGCTGAGGTTGAGTCCCTTCATGCATTGGTGGGGCAGGAGAGACACTGAAAAGCCAACGATCCCATGCTGACCAGTGGGGTCCCTACGGCATGTGGGCTCTGCTCCTTCAGACTCAGCCAGCCACTGACACAGAAGAGGACCATGCTGACTCCCAGCTATGGCCCCAACTTGTAACACTGTAAGGAGGACATGTCCCTGAGGACTACTATCCTCCGTTGCTTTAGGGAGCTGGTTTTCCTGGTGGGCCTCTCTGGGCATGTTCTCCCAGCCTGTGCAATAGACTCACAGACACAGCGCCCATCTCCCTCAATGCCCCATACGAGGGTGCTGGCTCACCCCTGTATCTTCCCTGGAGATGTTCGAGCTTAGCCAGGTATGGCATCTGGGGACTCATGGAACACTGTCCTTGTTCCTCCTGACCAGGTTCTTGGTGGCTTTGACCTCCTCTGTCCTCATGTCTGGACCTCAATCTTCCCCAGCCACACAGCAGCTGTCCCTGCACTTGGCCCATGACTGCTGGGTCTGTGCTGACAAGGCCTCTGCCCTTCCCAGAGGCTGCCTGTTGCAGGTTGGCCCTCTCATTCCGCGCCTTCCCGGGTCATCTCTCTCCCTGGATTTCCTCTCATACTTGGGAGGACGTAAAACAGCCTTAATGGCACATGGCTCAGGACGCAGATCTTGTACCCTGGCCCTCACCCACTGCCCTGCATCTCACCAGGTGTCTAATGGACCCTCCCTTCCCTTCCTGGAGAGCCTTGGGTGTCCCCTCCACCTCAGGCCTGCCCCTGCAGGATAGTAAAAACTTCCCAGCCACTTCCAGGACTCGTGTTGGAGGCCATAGTGGGAGTGGGCGGGCCCTCTTCTGTGTCAGTGGCTGGAGGCTCAGAGCCGGCTCACGGCCAGAACCCCCAACTACCGAGGCTGTGAATTTGGAGGGGGCTGTCTGGACCCTGATCTTCCTTCAAAGCCAAGACTGTGCTGATTCTGTGTGGAGCTTGCACTACTACGGGGGGCCTTGTAGGTCTTAAGGGGCAGATGAAGCCACACTGTCTCCTCTCTGGTCCTCTTTGGCTCTGGGACCTTGGGCACCTTGGGCTCCTTTCAGGCTTCCAAGGAGATGCACAAAGACCTGCGTCTTAGCTGCCTGTGGCTCTGCCCTGGGCTGCTCAGGTAGGCTCCACGCAGCCTATATGCTGTGCAAGATCAGGGCTCAGCTTGTGCTCTGTGTCTGGGTAATAGAGTCATCATCTCCCCTAAAACCTCTGGGCTGGTGCTCTCTCCAGCTTGTATTATTAACAAAACAACAGGCTTTAGGTTTCCCCAGGAATGGTAGCGTAATCAGGCAAAGTTGAAAGGTGCAACTGGGTCCAGCAGCCCTTGCAGTCAGAGGAAAATGAATCCCCTCTGTTCAGATGTGCTGCGTGTCCCCTGGACATGCCCAAGGCTGTTCTGTCTGGCTTTCATGGTGACTGATGCTATCTGGATCTGGGTGAGGGAAGGAAGTGGCACCTGAGGTTAAAAGGAGTGAAGGGGGAAATTGATTTTTCCATCGAAAATGTCATTGTTGCATTGCTAACAGACTGCTCGGAGACTGTCAAGTGGCCAGTGCTTGTGTGCCCTGCAATCCACCCGGCCCCTTTAGTTTTTCTCCCTTCCTAATATAAAGATCAGGATTAATAGACAGCTAAACTGATTTTTATGAAATTGGGTTCTTTGTAGCTACAAATAGGTAATTGATGCAGTTTATTATGGCCTTGGCAGAAGTAAATCATGAAAGAAACAAATGCTTTAGTGAGAAAACAGTCCTGAACACAGGGCTGCTCATGCAATCAGAAGAGCCATCCAAGCCCTGGGTGCTTGGGGTCTCAGGAGGTGAGAGAATTTTCCAGGTCCCTAGGTGGAGACTCTTTCCTCTTGGGAGGGAGAATTCTGGTAGCACTTTTTTCTTTTTTAAAGATTTATTTATTTGTGTATTTATGTATTTGGTACAAGGTCTCGCTACACAGCGTGGGCTCATGGTGATCGTCCTGTCTCAGCTTCCTCAGTGCTGGAATTATAGCCATGTGCAACCATGTCTGGTTCTGGGGCCAGCAAGGCATGCAGTACAGGGATCCGACTCAGGACTTGCACTTGCGAGGCAGGCGCTCAGAGGCTGAGCTATCTCCTCAGCCCATTTAGTCACATTTCTGAGGTCACCATCCTGGAGTAGACTTGGGTCTGGGACTTGTTGGAGCCACGTTCCCCATACCAGGAGCTTCATTTTTATTTATCCCATTTGGGAGAAGATGGCAATCACAGGTCCAAGCTGTCCCTCTGCATTCCTGGTGATGGGTACCTCCAACTTCAGAGTCTGCATCTCCGCAGTTGCTTGGGCAGCTTGGAGAGAGATGCCCGGACATTGCAATGTAGGACCAGAGGCCAGGATCTTGGACATTTGGGGCCTCCTGGTCCCACTCCCAGGGACACACAGATGTGCTGCGGCATTAAAAGCCTCTCCAGGAGCACCCGTTGCTTCCTCAACATGGCCAGCTCTTGATTTTTTCTGAACTATGACTCCACCTTATCAAGAGTTGTCCTAATAAAGACCATTATAGTAAATATTTTTGTCCCAGTTCTCCTACTGTATTTGTTCAGATTCACAGCCACCAGAGCCACACCACTGTCACCCCAAGCCACTCCCCAAGTCCTGTTCTCCCAGCCTTGTGCTGGGTTTTATCCCAACACCAGAACTGGAGCTGGGTGGCCCTGTCCCTGCCCAGAGGACCTCAAGAGAAGACTTCATCTGGAGTCTACCAGCTACTGGAGAGGTTTTCTGAAAAACATCAAGCAGACATAATCGACTAATATGATCAGTCATCATGAGAAAAAATGACGCAGCACCCCTGGCTTCTACCTGCATGCCTTACATTCGGGCAAAGGAGTGCTGTGACGAGCCTGCCTCTGTGCCATTCCCTCCTGCCCTATTCCTTCCTGTAGGGCCTGAGGGGTTTCAGCAAAAGCTCCCATAGCAGGGAGCTAATCAGCTACAACCCGAGGGGAACAGGAAGTGGCTGCATGGGCTTCAGCCGGGGCTCACACTGCAGAGAAAGTAGGGCTAGCAAGGAAAGCCTTTCAGGCTCTGCCCAGCAGTTTCTATAAGCTGCAAGGCTGAAGGGGTCTGCTCTCAGGACTCTGAGGAGGCTGAGGCAGGGCAGCAAGAATGAACTCTTCACCCTGAGCTCAGTGGCTTTGGGTGGCAAGAGCTGCAGCTGGGGTGAGATCCTCTGGGCCCAAAGAACTCCACCCTATAGAACTTGCTAGCTTGCCCTATCCCCAGGACATGGGCTGAGCTGTCACCTCTGCCTATGCTCACAGACCCAAAATAGCACTGTACTCAGAGAAGGGGCCTTGAGGGGTGACCAGGTAGACAAGGGCTGCAGGGTGGGTGCTGACCTGGGGTGACCGATGTCCTTCCACAAGCAGAGACCAGGACACAGATACAAGCAGACAGGAGACCTTGCAAAGACGCTGGAGAAGGCGGTGTCCTCGGCCCCCGAGAGGCCTTGGAAGGAGTGACCATGCATGCCTGCTACTGCACCTCCCCCGCAGCACTCTATACCGTACCTTCGTGCTGCTTGAGCCCCTGTCTCTGGGTGGGCAAGAGACAGGCTCTTCCCGTCTCAGGGAAGAGCCACTCCAGCCTCCTAGAAAGTGGGGCGTCCTCACAACCTGCCGGGTTGGAGCCCGTGCACCAGGAGGTACTGGATTCTGGAGCAGCTGCACGGCAAGTGAGGACCTGCAGAAGCCTGCAGTGCAGTTCCCCCAAAGCCCAGGGTGACTTTCTATCCATACAGTGGCAAGTTCCTGTAGAGACCTGGGGTACCTCTCTGTGAGAAGGGGAGGGTGGTGTTTTCCTGTCCCTGACACTGTAGAGCCACAGTCAGATCCCGAGGGACAGGCACACCTGTGGGAAGCCTGGGCCTATGTGAGGGACCAAGTGCTTGTCTTACCCAGACTTCATGGTGGTTCCTCCTGGGGCAGTGGTTCCACCCCAGGAGGCCCAGCTTAGGGATGTGACCGGCCTTGAGAGTGGTGACTCGTCAAGGGATTTATGCTCTTTCATCATCCCCATGAGCCCCTGTCCCTCCTCTTGCTGAGGACACAGAGCACCTCTGAGGACTGCAATATGGACTGCCTGGGCTGCTCCCCTGCTGTCACGGACACTACAGGCTGGGAGGCTGATAAAGAAAAGGCATTGTCCAGTGCACAGCCCAGGGCCTGGGAAGAGCCACACCTCGGGCAGCATCCTGTAGGCAGCAGGAGAAACACACAGGAGGGAGGTGGGGCGAGCTCACTGGTGCGCACCCTGCCTGAGACAGCAGCAGTCACACACTCTGAGGGCACAGCCCTGGCCCTGTACCCTGTGGTCTCCCCTCCACACCACTGGGCTGAGGGGAGAGCCGTGATGTAGGTGTGGGGGCACATTCTTTCTGCAGCTGGCCCTCCCCAGCCACAGAATCTGCAGGAACTTGGTGTTGGCTTCATCTCCAGACCTGTAGACAAGCAGTTTCTGTAGTTCATGAGCCACTCAGTCTGCAGCAGCCACATCAGAGAAAGACAGGGTTGGCGTTGAAGGCCTGGGACATGAAGTGCATAATTAGGGTAATGTAGAGAGCCTTCATGCAAAGCGGGTGTGTGGGGTGGTAGGGACACGTGCATGCAGGTGACGAGGTCAGACCCATCTCAGGCTGGGGGCTTGTGGGTTCTGAAGGTGGACAGGAGCAGTGTGGGAACTCTGTCCTTGCTGTTCAATTCTGTGAACCTAACACTGCTGTAGACAATAAAGCCTAGCAGAATATGGCTGTCCACCAACCTGAGTGAAGGGTCCGCCCTCCGCCGGGCTGGCCTCGGACTGCTGAGCCTGCTCTGTGTTCCCTTTGCTTCCCCTTCAGGTCTGCTCCCTGCCACTGAACTTCAGATTCCTCCATCACGTGTCAAAACAAGTGCAGCCTCTGTTTCCGGAATACTGATCAGCCCTGGTCGCCTGGACTTCACAGGTGCCTCCCGTCTGTCTGCCAGAGAAGAAAGCCTGCTCTGATCCCCGCACTGCGAGCTTTTATTTACCTTATCTGTAATATAATTAATAGATGACTGCGTGCAGATCAAGGCCCCTTCAAAGGGCGTGAGACAGCCTCGCGCGGAACTTGCTGTTTTGAATCAGTCCAGGACCCTATCAAAGTTGGAGTGATCACTTCATGTAAATCCTGGTGTTCTGAATCAGTATCTTTTAACCTGTGCACACCATTCTTAGCTCACTGCAGTTTGAAGGCTTGGAAGGCGGGTCTCCTTTGTGTTGCACAATTCCATATTCGGCCAGCAGCACCTCACGACGATTTCTTAAAATTAATATGGAGGCTGCTTACAAAGATGTCTCTGGGCTCTCACGCCATCCTGGGTAAGGGCACAGAGGATCTCACATTCTCCCTTCAGAACCGGGCTTCAGGCAGTCAGGACAGCCTCGGACACTGAGACCTAGGGGTGAGATCGGGACCTCAACAGTGCCCATGGCTCCTATAATTCCCCTTTCTTTATTTTGGGAAAATAAAATGGTTTTGCAAACTTTGGTTTCATAAACCAGGCTGTTTCTTTGGTGGGCCAATCTTGGGAACACAGTGTCCTGGCCTGCAGGGACAGTGTGGCACACTGCTCAGCCCAATCCTCGTGACGTCACTGGAGTTTGCCTCCATCCCACCTGCAAGGGTGCTTTACCCAAACAGTGCCCCGCCCACACCTCCCAACCTGTGGGGCTATCTTCCTAGGATGCTGTTCTCCCCCTGGAGCCTGGAGGCCACAGCAACAACCTGGAGTCACAGTGTGGTGCCCTTTCTGGGTGCCTTTGCTCTCAGGCCCCAGCAGGGGCGTAGCTCCGTGGCACTACTCCCTGGGGTGCTGTGGCACTAAAGCAAGTGCAGGTCCCTGAGCCAGGCCAGGGCTGGAAGAGGAGAGCCGGCCTTTGCCTGGAGCCTTTGTGGAACCACTGCGCTCCTGACCCCGTTGCAGTGTCTCCTTTGCCCAAGCTTCCCCTGGGTTTGGAGTGGATTTCAGGCAGGTCTTCAGCCTGCCCTTCCTCCCATCCCCATTCCTCTTTGGGTCATCAGCCGACCCCAGAGTGCCTGAGAGTGACTGTCACATCACACCTCTCACAAGGGTCCTGTGAGAGCTACTTCACAGGGATCTGCCCTCCACAGTCAAAGGCAAGGTGCGCTAAGGTGGGGATTCCTGATCCCCTTCCTGCTAAAACCTCACCTCATGAGCCTAGTTCCTCTGCAGAAGACAGTTCTCAGGTGCAGTTCCAATAGGGCTCTGTTTGGAAGACTGAATGGCGAGTTCTCGTCCCCTGGGTGAACCAAGGTCTGTGACACCATCCTGGGCTGCATTTGAAGAAGGACCAGGGGCCACTCTGGGGTTGAGCCAGCAAGAAGTGTGTGACTCAGTCAGCCACGCCCAGGCTTCGGGGGACAGAGGAGGGAACAAGACTCATGCAAGTTACCTCCTGGGCACCAGGCTTGGGAAACTGCAGGCCTGGAGCTCCTCCCATCTGCAGGGACCAGGGAAAGAAAGGGAAGGAGGGATGGCAAGGGGGTCAGGTTCCAGGTGCACCTGACTGGGGCTGTCCTGGCCAGATGGGACCTGCTCCTACCCTAAGCATGTGGAGCTGTGGGGAATGAAACAAAAGGGGAGAGAGAGGTAGAGAACAAGGACCCCAAGCCCTAGTGGGCTCCGGAGGCATAGGAGGCTGTGGGGCATGCAGAGCTCCATCTTTCTGGTCCTACTCTTCCTCCTTCACATGTGGGCTCCTCCAGTCCAGTCAGATAATCAAAAATGGGAGTCTTTCACCATGATATGATGCAGTTTATCCAAACTGCACTTCAAAGAGCTGAATCTAAGTGGCAATTTATTGCCAAAGTCCCTGGATGTGCTGTGGGAGCCAGCAGTGCTGGTCTGTCTGCTCCAGGCTGGGGCAGACAAGAGACAATCTCAAACCTGGGAAGCACCATCCCAGCTTGGTTCCATCCAGGAGTTTCTGCTGGTCAAGTCCCTGATGGTGTGGTGGGGCTCTGTCTTTGGGGTAGGAGCTCCTGGGAACACTCACGGGGGAGGTGAGGATGTCAGGAGTTCCTGGAGCCTGCATCAGACAGCAAGTGAGACAGACACTGACTGTCATAACTTGTCACCCCCAACTTGTCCCAGTGGTCAGGACCAGATGCCCCATCATTGAGTCCATCTTTGGAACAGGGACCTTCCTACTTGGCCCTGACCTATTATGAATATGTTCCTCCTCCTCAGTGCTACCTGCTCCTCCTTGCTCACCAACCAAGAGGCAGGAAGTTGCCATGCTACACTAGGGTTGGAGAGGATCTCATAGGGGTTTGTGTGCTTCTCTCTAAGCATCGGTGTCCTTACAATCACGAGGTGCATATGTGCAAACAGACAGGTGTGGGCACAGCCATGGTCTTTTTCTGTTGTTTGCCAAACACCTTCAATGGGCCGTGGAGTTCTCTAAAGGTGCCAGCTGGGCTCTGAGGTCTCTTAGATGTTGTCCAAAAACCACCAGGGCTCTCTGTGCGGGAAAGGAGCCTGACAGGATTCCCACGGGGAAGACTGCTGCCTGCCCGCCCTCCTGCATGTCGCTCCATGTGACCTGGGGACACAGCATCAACACAAGACTGGAGGCATCAGTGCCAAATCCAAGAACAGGCACTGCTCAGCAGGCGGCAGGATGCTGATCTGTCTCCACCCAGGGAGTGTGGTTCTTCCTTCCCTGGGAGGCAGGCACAGGCCTGCGTGTGCATAGCAAGGGCCACCAGCCCAAAGTCCCTCAGGTATAGCTGGAATCTGCTGTCCTTTGCAATCCCTAGGTGGGGACAGAGCACCCCTGCTGGGGAAATGTGGTGTTATGGTTTTTGTCTAGGTGTCTCCCCAAAGCCTCATGCAGTCGTGGGGTGGCTTCTGGAGTTTGTGATTGATTATTGTGGGTGTGGATGCTGCACCTGCCCCGGGGCAGGTGATTTGCATTACAATGTAAGGAGGGAAGAGAAGCTAGCTGCTTGAGCTGCTGTTACCTCTCCCTTTGCACTCTAGCTCTTTGCTGCTGCCATGAAAGTTTGCCCTCTGCCATGTGCCACTCTGCCTTGGAGCCAGCTGAGTACGGACCGAAACCTCCACTAACTGTGAGCTAGATAAACCTTTCCTTCTTTCATTTTGCATGCCGGATATTTGTCCAGCAACACAAGAAGAGTAACTATGACATGTGGTCAGTTCCTTCATACAGGAATGCACCTGCCTGGAAGACTTTTTGCAAAACAAAACCGGAAAAGGGGTGGGGGCTTTAGTTTCACCAAGCTATAAAAGAACTTTCTCATTGTCTCACTTTGCCCATTTATAAGGGTGACCAACACATAGTGTGAGTGTTCACACTATGAGCCTTACTGTAGTAAAAGTCTCATCACCCTGAGCCCCTCTCAAAATCTGCCCTGTTTCTTTGAACACACTCATCCCATTGTTCTTGCTACTTCCTGATGCAGTTCTGGAGCCCCATTTTCTGTGTGTGTTTTCACGGCAAGATAAAGAATACAGTCAATGCTTCTGCACAGTTTCTAACAGAAAGGTGGGTTCAAATAGCACAGTGGTGTCCCTATCCACCTTGCTCACCAGATCTGGCACCATGAGACTTCTGGCTCTTCCCCCAAATCAAAATCATCTTGAGAGAGTCACTCATGAATCCATTCAGGACACTGAGGGGCCAGGACAACTGAAGATACCCACCTCTGCCTTTCCTGATCCCCAACTCCTTGCATTTCTGGGGTCCAGGATGAGACTTCGTGGTGGATGACACTGGTATTTGCTGGACACTGCACTCTGCCACCTTCCTAGGGAACACAGTTCTCAGGGTAGGATGCCAGCCAGCAGCACCACTAGTCTGGAGTTGGCAGGATTGGTTCTCACCTGAGTGTGACCTTCCTCTTGGCTCTGCAGGCTCGAGGGATTTGGACTGTTCTCAGTGGAATCTATGAGTGTGGATGGCCAAGAGGTGGGGCAACCACTTTAGTCCACCCTACAGACTCAGAGCAGATCCCTGGCCACAGTGGGGTTGCTGAGCTGTCTTTGGTCCTGGCTCTTGCTGCCTCAGTTACTCAGCACAGGGGGTATGGCACGCTCCTGTCTCTATCCCTACTCTGCCACAGGTGGGCAAAGCTGTGACCCAGCTCCTGCAAGCCCCCAGCTGTGTGCTGTCTAGTGCCAACTCCATGTACAATTCCAGGGCTCCTGTGGACTGTGCAGGGCAGCTCTGAACTTGGACGCCCATGGTCCTCCAGGGGACCTTCTGGAAAAATGGACAAGAACAGGTGGAGGCCAGTATGTCAGGGAGTCCAAGGGATGTACCAGGTGCTCACTGTTAGTCTGGCCACTTCTGGGTTTCCAGGGAGCCTCCTCTCCTCTGCTGGAGCCAGTATTGGGCAGGGACCCACAGTAGCATCCCCTGCTTCTCACACAGGTGGGATGCAGGTGTGGTGTGTTCAGGGGCACTTTTTCCCTCTCAGGAGCACCTGCTGTGCTGGCTTGTGGGCAGCCTCATCTTATGCAACCCTTAGCAATTCAGCCTTCAAATTGGTGCAGGTAGGATGCTTGTCTGTGCAGCAGGTCTGCCCCACGCACACTTGCTTTGTGTGTCAGGCAGCTGTGGGAAAAGGGTGCTAAAAGTCTGTGTCTGACCAGAGAGGCTCCTGTCATGTGCCAGCCTCATTAGCTGAGCTGGACCTGGGGCAGGGGATTGGGGACAAAGGACAGTGTTATGGGATTATGGGTGGTAAATCAGGCAGAGATACAATGCATGTTATTTTTTTCTTGAACAGATTCTAATTTCTACAACAAATTATAACACATTTTGGGGACATTCACACAATCTCAAGTAAACATTAAAACCATGGAGTGTTATTTTGGGAGTGCAAATTGAAAAGTTCTGCTACTTTTTCTCAGTCTGAGTCATTATGTTTTTATGACTTTGGTTAATGTTGAGCTATAAAAACTAGTAAACAATTGTTGAAAGCAGAGTCAGTTCCTCAAAAATATTTTATGAGCTTCATTTTTGGAAACGTTGAACCTTCCATGAGATAGTTTCTCTCTGTGCGCCCACAGAAACTCATCTTTTTGTTTTTTTTTTACAGAGCTCCACTCTGTGACCCAACCCACCCTGATGGGTTCTCGGTCTGGCTGGTGCCCGGTTATATTTCTCTGTATTTTTTTTGGGAGAAACCACAGCTGTATTTTGGGCTCCAGTGCTTTCACTTGGTGGTGACACCTAAATAGAAATCCTCACAGAGAGCCACAGGCTCCCACCTGGCAGAACCAGCCATGGTTTATTCTTGGCATCAGGCCACGCATGGCGTCATGGTGACCCGGACACTGCCCCCTCCCCCGTTCACCCTGGGGCCCAAGAGGGGTTATGCTGCAAGTAGGAGACACTGTCCAAATATTTCTCAGCCCCTGTTTGTGGTGCCTGAAGACTGCGTTCATCTTAGGGTGCTAGCACACACGCACAGCAC